GAGCACGCGATTATCTCAGATAACTCCATCCAGCCACACTAATCATCAACAGCAGCTGCGCTCGAAGAACCGGATTAGCCAGATCCTGATTAGCGCGATCAGATCATCTCAGATGTAATAAACGACGTACGAAGAACGGGCCCCTGGTCATAACTACCAAAAATTCATTTATTTTCAGGATTTCTGTGTGAAAGATTCAACTTCTGCTGATTCAGTGACATTTTCCACCACAAAGAAAAAAGGCAAGAAACGTAACTTGAAATAACTTTAAACAAACAAGAAATTCAGTTCAATACAGTGTTCTTTAACAGGCCAGATTGCTCAGTAATAGTGAAAGCATCGAAGACTACTTTCACTGTCTTTTCTAAGAAAACAGAATTAACTGAGTAACTGCGTGATAGTCACATTAAAGATGACGGAGTACGAGTTTCTCTCGGCAGCTGAACACAAAAGAAGAGATTTTGAGGAATGTTTGTCCGACCGGTTTCTGGACCTCATTGACTTCTATAGTATATCTTCCCATACTGTGGAGTCGATGGCTGCCAGCAGCTGCTTGCTCAACACATTCTTAATTAGTCTTCTTTCATACTCCGTAAACTATCACAGAATTTTAATTTTGGGGTGAACCGTCCCTTTAACAAAGCTCATCAGTGATTTAAAGGATGTTATTATGCAGCTAACCACCTCAACATTTACAGTCTAATAGCAGTCCTTTTATCCCTCTACACTAGAGCTGAGCGATTACTCAAGAAATCAACAGAAAGCTCGATTTCTCCGTCACTCCGTCATGCATTCATAACCAATCAGAAAGCATATTTCTCTCGTCATAAACACAATCGACTGCCAAGACAACGCTGATATAATCCAAACGTAAAGGCAATATTTTAAGCATTTTATCACCCATAGAAAATAAAGAAAATGCTTCATGTGAAACGTGATGCGTTCCTATTTTGGGCTCATTTGCTTGCCTGAATGTTTTATTAATAAACCGTACACCCATAAGCCACTGTAAGTGCTTTCTTAGAAGTGTCTTTCTATGGGAGCAAACTGCTTAAACATTAAACTTTCATCTCCGTCTTCATCTTTTCTGTCGATAGTATGTTTTATTAATAAGGTGTGTACCAACTGTCTTTTAATATTACCGTTTCAGTGAAATAACGTATGCACACCATTCTAAACGAAGCATAAAGATCTAACTGACGCCATCATGCATCGTTTATGGAAAGATTTCGTCAATAAAGCTGCAGCTACTTCAGATTTGTGGTCAGGCAGAACAACACAGACTTAACAACAGCTGCTTAGAAAGCTTGTGTACTGAACGGTGTTATATAGAGTTAGTTCAGCTCCAGATCCACCCCCTGAATCAAGCTTCAGGATTCACGGTGAGAACAAAGATCTACCTGTCGTGTTCTCGGCTGCGGCTGCGTCTGCTGCGTGTCCTTCCTCTGGACCTGCTGGGAGAAGCACACGGTCAGTGTCTGGATCCCACAGGACTGCGGCGTGACGCTCACTCTCTAGGGCTTGCTCACTCACTCTCTAGGGCTCTGGGAGCGTCTGCGCCGCCTCTCGTAGGACGGGCTGTGTGACCTGCGTCTGCTGCGGCTGCGGGAGCGTCTGCGCCGCTCGTACTCCTCGTATCGGGAGTGGCTGCGAGGCGACTGACGCTCCTTGGACTTCATCTGGCCCGGCGCTGAGAAACACAGCAGAGGTCAGCCTCAATCGTTCCCAGAAACACACTTGCATCTCAGACGGCATCAGCACTCACTCTTGCGGTCGCCCTGAGCGAACTGGATCTCGATCTGCCGTCCGCAGACCCACTTCTGGTCCAGATTGTGCAGGGCGTCCTCCGCGTCCCGGACGTCCTCAAACGTGCTGCGCTGTTAAGGGCTCTAACTGAACATGTTCACCGCACTCACAAACAAACGCTTGTGTCCTGAATCATGGAGGATACTGGAGTTACCTTTACCTTCATCTTTACGCTCTTTAACCTGCAGACGCCGCTTGTCTCGGCCCCATAATGCCTCTCTTTGTCTCTTGGAGCTTTAATTTGCTTTTCTTTCACACTCTGCCTCTCTGTAAGCAGCCAGCTTTCTTTCTTGAGGCGGCTTGGCTTTTAGTCCTACTCTACACGGCTCTTTAACTGTGTCTTTGTGCCGGGCTCCACCAGGGGACGCCTTTACACAGTCTGGGGCGACAACAGAGAAATAAGGGTTAGACTGGAGCCCTGCGGAGAGAAGCCTCCACACACACACACACACACACACACACACACGCTGCACTCGCAGTCAAAGGATATTGAATGTACGCAAATCCTCTGGGCCGGCGAGAATAGAAGTCTAGGGGAACGTAGACATCAGCAACGGGCCCGTATCGGCCGAACTCTCGGCGCAGGTCCTCTGGCCTGAACACCGGGAAATAACATCTTAACCAAACCAACCCAGGACATACTTACCGGCATCTTAAAGCGACAGCTCACCCAATAATCTAAGTGTGCTGTTGGCGTACTCTCCCTCGGCTCATCCGGGATGTGTTTCTTCAGCTGAACAGTCTATGGCTTCGTAAGACCTCCGTGTACCGTCAGGAGTCACGGGGACTGGTAGGATTTTTGGACTCTTAAAGTGACGGTAGCCGTCGACTTACATTTAATGAATCACCAAGGATCACAGTTTCCGCTGAAAACCTTCTCTACAGTTCAGCTGAAGAAACATCTCGGATGAGCCGAGGGAGAGTACGTGAACAGCACACTTGGATTATTGGGTGAGCTGTCGCTTTAAAGCAGACAAACACACACAAACACACACAAACACACACACAGATGAAGCGCTGGGTGTTTTAAAGCAGTACTCTGAGTTCAGCACGAGTTAAACTCGTTGCACAGGTATACTGCTGATCAACACAAACACTGCATTTGGTCTCTTCCCTCGATCGAAGCAAACATCTGAATTACACAGAGGCTCTCCGGAGGAGGATTTAAATGCAGCAATGTTTAGCTCGCTTGAAGAAAGCATTCGTTTAAAATATTTGTATTACTTAGAGATGCATGATCTTATATTACAAGCGAGTCAATAATGCAGAGTTTTTGCATTGTTTTAAATCCTTTCAGGCATTGTATTGACATGGCGACTAAACTGAAAACTTGTATATATATATATATATGGTTGCTAAATGATTTTAGAGTATTTGAACATTTACTGCTGTGCTCCATTCATGGCCTGCTGCTTCAGTAAATGAGCTCATCATCATCACAGACCCTGTGCCAGAATACTCCAGTAATAACACATCTGCTGCATCTAGAGGAGCACAAGCCTCACTGCAGCAGCACAGACTTCAGCACGCGAACACTTTATGAGCTGCGGGTTCATCTGAAAGCAGCATATATTAATATATCAAACAGCACTAGCGTCCACGAGCCGAGACATCTGCTAACTGTAGAGATGCACGGGATCTGGGGACAAAACAATAACATATAATACAACAATAACGACAAACATTTACGCGCCAAACACAAGAAACCCTTCAAACACGTGTTTGCAGCACATGCAGTATAATAACCGACAGACCAAACCCGATCGCTACAAACACCAGCTTAACGCCTGTGAAGTTTCTTACCGGGACTCGTCGGAAATATTGCGGACGAACAGAGAGCTGTTCGGCGGCCTCATGTATCGAGACATTATAGTTATTATTACAGTCTCTTACACTTGATTATAAATGACTTTTAAGAACGATTGAAGATTGAACTCTGTCTCGCGCCACGCGGCTCTGTGTCGCTCTTCCTTCGGCAGCATCGAGGCCTGAAGCAGCCGCCGAGCGTCACAGCGCCGCCGAGAGACGCGCTCCGGTACTGCAGCACAGTACACGCATCAGCCAGCAGCAAAACAAGCACGCTGCACACCATCATCAAGAGTTGTTGTCCAATATGACAAAATGTGTTTCAATATATTTTATTAGGCATGGTATTGTTATACAAACTTAAAATCTAGTACATTGTTATAAAACATTGCGAGATTGAGATTGCACCATAATATTTCTGGACATTGTTATAATCTGTAAGTATTTATGAAATTACGTTTGAAAATGTATTATATTGACGGATTTTACAGTAGAGATGGTATGTTGTAGTATGCATATATATATATATATACTGTATATTCGTGTGCGTGTGTGGGTGTGTGCGTGTGTGGGTGTGTGCGTGTGTGTATGTGGGTATGTGGGTGGGTGTGCGTGTGTTGTATGTGGTTGTGTGTGGGTGTGTGTGGGTGTGTGTGGGTGTGTGTGGGTGTGTATGGGTGTACTGTATATATATATATAGGTGTCAAAAAATTATTCAATGAAGTTAAATGTTAGCCTACTTTTATCACAAGGTTTCTAAATATATTTACTCAGTAGTTTATTGTAAAAGGTTAAAGAGTATAGAGTTAAAGTCGTTGATTAAACGCGTCTGCTCCTCCGGACGAGAGTCGCGCTTCTGGCAGAGAACGTCTGGAACACAGAGAAAGCAGCGTTACAGCGACTGTACGCTGATATACAGTATACACATGGATGTGCTGCTCATAAAAACACACGTGCATCACTTTATATGAAGAACATTCACAGAAATACAAGAGAAACAGAAGACTGACACCGAAACACTGCAGAATATGCTGTTCTCCCTCAGTGTTTCTGTCTTGTTTTCCATGTATTCCAAAATACATTTACTGGAGATGTACAATGACTGAAGATGTTCAGTATTGTTTTCTGGAAAAGACACTCAAATTAAGTGAGTTTTTGCTTCTTTTTTTTTTAATAATAAAATTAGCAAATATTTCTTCTCACTCAATTCTGATACATTGAACAATAATTAATGTAATATGGTCATGTGGCTTCTCCAGTAAATGTATGCTGATTTAAGGATGTTGAGATATTTGTACAGAAAACAAGAGAGAAACACTGAGAAGAGAAAGCATGAATAATGTTGTGATGTGACTCACAGACAGCTCTGAGAAAGTGCTCTGCGTTCTCCTGCTCATACAGCTTCCAGCATCCACTGAAGTCCACAGCCATCATCCAGCAGCGGTGCGAGCCGAGCAGAAGAGGAGATGTGCTCCTGTGTTTGTGCCTGTGATGATGATGATGATGATGATGATGATGGAGTTAATGAGTCTCCACAGCGATGCTTCAGCCTCAGAGGAGTCTCTTCAGTGCCTCGGGCTTTACACTAAACACACAACACCTCACTTACTTTGAAATACAGCTAACATGTCCCAAAACACACGCCCAGCAACACTCCCCAAAGCAGATACTAGTCTGAGTATACAGCAGGAGTCAAAGGATGGGGTCGGTAAGAGAAATAATTACAGTAAAAACTGTGAAATATTATTATAATGTAAAACAGCTGTTTTCTGTGTGAATCTCTGTTAAACTGTAATGTATTTCTGTGATGTGCAGCTGTATTTTCAGCATCATTCCTCCAGTCTTCAGTGTCACATGATCTTCAGAAATCAGTATAATATGCTGATCTGCTGCTCCAGAAACATTTCTGATTATTATCAATGTTATCAATATTTTTGTGGAAACTGTGCTAGATTTAATTTTTCAGGATTCACAGATGAACAGAAAGTTCAAAAGAACAGCATTTATTATAAATAGAAATCTTTCGTAACATTATAAAGACACTTACCGTCACATTTGATCAAATTAATAAAAGTGTTTATTTCTTTCTTAATCTTACTGACCTCAGACTTTTGAATGGTGGTGTATATTCTCTCAAAATAAGTTGTATTATCTGAGACATTTTTATGTAACTTTATCTTTAACAATGTTTAGATATTTTACTGAAACATAAATATGGAACACATAAGATGTTTATATAATGTCTGCTCTGCTCTAGTCTGTTGAACTCCAAAAATCAATCAATCAATCAAATAAATAAATTACAGTCATCTATATGACTCATGCATGTCATATGCAAGTCATAAAATAGAATCAAATTTAAGTTAATTCTCAAATTTAATTTATGGCTTTCAAACTTTGCACTTTGCACAATATTTTACTTGATTTGTGAGTGACGTCAAACCTGGTATGTCGCATCTTCTGCACCGCATTCAATTTTGCATGAAATTTGCACTACTTATGTTGATTCTGGTGTAATAATATAGATAAAGAGGAGGTTTGTAACGGAATAGCAGTTGTTGTTGTCTCCTGTCTTTTAATTAAATCATTTTTTCTGAATATTTACAGTACAAATGAAGTGTTTAAGTATGTCTAATAGTATCCTAATGTGACTACTTGAAAAGCTTTAATTCTACTTTATTTCACTTAAAATATGTTAATGCTTTTTATTTGTAGATGTTGTCTGCATTGTTTAACACTCAGCATGCAAGTTATTCAGATCAGGTAATGCTAAAGAAAACACCTGCGAAATTAGTGCTGATCGCAGTGTTCTAGGTGCAATGGAAAGGACGTGTGGGTCTCCCATACTTGGAATTTGTGCTCTGCATTTAACCCATCCAAGTACACACACACACACAGCAGTGAGTAGTGAACACACACACACGCAGCTGTGGGCAGCTGGGAGTTATTCACTCCCCCCACCTACAATCCCTGCCGGACCTGAGACTCGAACATGCAACCTTGGGGTTACAAGTCCGACTCTCTAACCATTAGGCCACGACCTCCCCAATTAGTGATGAAGCAAACATAGCAATGGATGCAAGGCCAGTAAACATCAGAGATGTGTGGAAAAAAAATGAGTCATTTGACCTTCAGAATGTACTGTATATTCTTGTTATTTTATATTCTGGTTATTATTTATTGTCTCACTTAAGACTTTTTTATGTTTCTTAAAATACAGCATAAATGTGACCCTGGAGCACAAAATCTGTCATCAGTAGCACAGGTATATTTGTAGCAATAGCTAACAATACATTGTGTGGGTCAAAATTATCGATTTTTCTTTTATGCCAAAAATCATTAGGATATTAAGTAAAGATCATGTTCCATGAAGATATTTTGTATATTTCCTACCGTAAATATATCAAAACTTAATGTTTGATTAGTAGTATGAGTTGCTAAGGACTTCATTTGGACAACTTTAAAAGCGATTTTCTCAATATTTAGATTTTTTTGCACCCTCAGATTCCAGATTTTCAAATATGTATCTCAGCCAAATATTGTCCTATCCTAACAAAGCATACATCAATGGAAAGCTTATTTATTCAGCCTTCAGATGATGTATAAATCTCAATTTCAAAAAATTTACCCTTATGACTGGTTTTGTGGTCCAGGGTCACAAATGATGTGCATTTTCTTGAAATACAGCTCTGTATACTGCTACATTTATTCTTTAAAGGCCAAATAGCAACTGGATAAATTAATTATTTTAACTGAATTATGACATTGCTTTACGCATTCTGAATCTTTGCTGTTTGACCCTCCTGCTCTTTTCGCATTTAGGGGCAGGAAAAATGAACCGGATGCCACCTAACCTCTTAGACCAGTTTGAGAAACAGCTGCCAGGTCAACAGGACGGCTTCAGCACGTTACAGTTCCATCGAAGCACTGCGGTGACGACGACCAAACAGCAGCAACAGCAGCGGACTGACAGTCCGGGAAAAATACGCTACTTAGTTCACTCCGTCCAGAAACTGTTCGCTAAATCCCAGTCGCTGGAAAACTCTGCCATCAAGGGAAACATGAACGGCCGCAACAGCAGATCGTCGAGCAGCGATGACAAAAACCATCGGAGCAAAAGCAAAGACCGGGCGAAGAGCGAAGGAACTGCCAAACGGAGGCCACGATCCAATATGTCTGGATACTGGAGTTCTGATGATTTGGACAGTGATATAAGTAACTATAGGAACCCAAAGGCCATGATGACTTTGGGTCGTCAAGCGGTGGGATCTGGACCGGGGCCGGGTGGACAGGTGGCATCCAGGTACTTCATGCAGGGCTACAGCACCATGAGCGAGCACATGCTCAAATCCTCAAAGAGTAACAGTGACCTGAAGCACCAGGGGCTCCCTGCACTCCCGGGACCTGGCGGTGGTGGTGGTGGTGGGGGGGTCATAGGAAGCCGAGGACCGATGTTTGACGGGAACTTTGGTAAAGGGGGACCCTGGTCCACGCTTACGTTAGGACCCTCCAGACAGGTGTGCCAGAAGGGCTCGGCCACGCTGGATCGCACCCTGCTGAAGTCCAAATCTGTCCAGCAGGATCTGGGCTGCCACATCCTGCAGGTGCGCGGGAGGGTGAGTGCATGAATAAAACTCAGTTATTGTGTACTGTATTGCTGTGGTGGAAGCTCACTTCAGTGCACAGTATGGTCCATTTGAGGTGTATACGTATGCAGGCGACCTACACATGCACTTTATAAAGCTTCATCTTTGTGTCTGTGCTATTTTGTCTTCTGACCGATAAAAATGTCTTTGTACTCTTTTAAACCAAAGTTACGACTTTTGTTGCAGTTTCTGCTATATGTGACCCTGGAGCACAAAACCAGTCTTAAGTCGCTGGGGTATATTTGTAGCAATAGCCAACAATACATTGCATAGGTCAAAATTATAGATTTTTTTTTAATGCCAAAAATCATTAGGATATTAAGTAAAGATCATGTTCCATGAAGATATTTTGTAAATGTCCTACTGTAAATATATCAAACCTTAATTAGTTTTTGATTAGTAATATGCATTGCTAAGAACTTGGACTACTTTAAAGGCGATTTTCTCAGTATTTTTATATATTTTTGCACCCTCAGATTCCAGATTTTCAAATAGTTGTATCTCAGTCAAATATTGTCCTATCCTAACAAACCATACATCAATGGAAATATTAATTCAGCTTTCAGATTATGTATAAATCTCAATTTTAAAAAATGGTTTTGTGGTCCAGGGTCACATTTTGTTGTTGTTCTGTCTCTTTAGTTTAGTTTTTTACTAGTCTGAAACAAGGGCCCGGGTCAGTGTTGCCATCTTTTGGAACAACCGATTAGTGCAAAATCAATTCAGTGCACATGTGTGACCTGCATGTACAAAGTGCGCGTGGTTTCAAAAACCGGATGGTGCACGTACAGTATGCGCGTACTATACTGGTGATGAAATTTGAATCACACGCACTGTACGCAGACCCTCACATGCACGTAAAAACCAAAGTATACTTTGGCCTTAAAGCATACTGCAGTTTTAAGACAAACTCTTAAGACCTTGATATACTCACAGCACAGTTCTTTTTCATTCTTCGCTCATAAGTAAAAAGAAGTTTACTCAAAAGCGCCACTCCACCCATGGGTTAAGATAAATATGTAAATATGTGTTTTGCACTTTACTCTCAATAACAAAATAAACACAAGAGAAATGACAGCGGTGAGAAAGCAGCAGTTAAGAAAGCATCATGGTCATAGTGTTGTGGGGGTTTGCACGAGCTCTGCAATTCGGCACTCCAGTAAAGTCACAGCATGTTTATTTATGTAGCACTTTATACAATAGTTTGACTTAAAGAAAGCAGCTTTACAGTAATAAACATGAAAAAAACAGTGTGTGTGTTGCTTTCAAATAGAACTTTACAGTGGTGGCCAACATTGTTAGAACACCTGACAGATCTGAAAACAGCCTCCAAAACATGATTTCATTTCATAATGTTCATGAAACATGCAGATGGTTTCTCTGAGCACAACAAATATCAGATGAAGTGAGTCGTACCGTTTTAATCCACTTTTAACTTTAATATTTGGTATGTCCACCTTTTGCAGCAATTACAGCAGCACATCTCTCTGGCATAGTGTCAGTATATTTCCTGAGAACATCAACACTAATATTATCCCATGCCTTCTGCAACTCAAGCCAAAGGCTTTCCTTTGAATGTACAACCGATCTGTCCAGTGTATTTTCCAACTCGCCCCAAATTTGCTCGACGGGGTTGAGGTACGAGCTTTAAGGGGGCCAGTCCATCATCGTCAGTGTTCCAGCAGATTCCTCCCGTCGCACATAGTTCCGGCAATAGTTAGTTTTATGGGTATTGTAATGGCCAATTCAACAAAAACAACTGAAACCTCTTAAATATGCCAAGTGTTCTAACCATTTTGGCCAGCACTGTAATTTCTACTGTAAAGCAGCTCTCCAGCGTGTTCATGTTTTTAATTGCGCCTCACCTCGACAAACTGAACAGAAGAAATTAACCAGAGAAGATTTCCACGTCAAAGCCACACCTACCTTTTACATAATCGCCATGTGCCAATGGTAATGCCAGTGTTTCCCAGCCTAAGTTAAATTTTGTAGAAAGTTCACTTTGGCAAGTCATTTTTAACACCCAAAAATGCTGTTCATTTTGTTCCGTTTCAAAACTTCATTTTGGCCTGGTTTTGTTCAAAATGACATCACACCAGTTTGTTTTTCAGTTTTGCTTAAAGTGTGTCTGGGTCTTTAAGCCTGGTTTAAACTGTCAGTCCAAATCTGTGCTAATCCGATGGGATATTTAGTATGAACAGCAAAGAATCACATGAAATACAATGCAAAATTTCAAGCATCTTTCATACGTGGTTTGAAATCCTTTTCAAATCACATTTCTGGAAATCTGTTTCAGTCTGACCACTCTGATTGGAATTTGCATAGCTTTTTCATACGTATATATACATACATGATATCACACATTTTATCCCACATTATAATGGTGTGTTTTATTTGTTTCATGTGATGTTTATTAGGGGCTGAATCTGAAATGAGAACACAAAAATAGACCACGACATGACCATCAAGTACAGTAGTTTAGGTCATGTACAGAATACACAAAAGAAAATGTTTTTTTGTCTTGTTTTTCATTACAAATATCTAGACCAAGACATATAAGAAGATATTTAAGATACGTATAAGAAGCAAAATGACAAGATATTATTAAGTCTCGTTCTCTGATGTAAACATGTTTCCATTTGAATTAAGTTTATATTTCTGATCCCACTGGAAGACATGTTTTCTTGATTTAAGCACAAACTCAGAGTTTTCAGAAGTCATGTCTTGTCGTGTCGTTTTGCTTGTGTCTTGATTTAACAATGTTTGTACTAGACTTTTTTCTACTAGATTTTTTAAATGCTCTTCACACTAAGAAAAGTTTCACTGAAAGGTTGTTTGGGGAACCAAAATTGGTTCTTCAATGGCATCACTGAGAAAAAAAACCCATTTTGTAACCTTTATTTTTAAGCTTGTGCTCTGGAAATCAGATGGGCCATGAATGTGCATCTGCAGTCTGTCTGATGTTTGTTCAGATGCCCTCCACCGGCGACTGGATGGGGACTCTGGGCCGAAGCGGGCCCATGGGCGAGATCCCCTGTAGACGGATGCGTAGCGGCAGTTACGTCAAAGCCATGGCCGACCTTGAGGATAGCGACGACTCTGACGAGAGTCCCAAACCCTCGCCAAAAAGCACCGCGCGGAGGCAGAGCTACTTACGCGCAACACAGCAATCACTAAGTGACCAATTCCCCTCAAGAAAGTAAGTCAACACATATGATTAATACATACACATATTATGTTTCTGTTCATTATTAAAGTGCCCCTATTATGCCTTTTCGAATATTACCTTTCATGCAGTGTGTCATGTAGCTATATGTGAACATAAACTATTTGCAAAGTTGTGAAACTGACAGTGCACGATAAATAAAGTTATTGTCTATCAAAGAAAAGAGTCGGCTCGCAATCGCCTAAACGAGTCGCCAGGAATTCGAATCTTATTCTGCTACGGCTCTGCATCACAAAGTATAATGTCTGCCCACGTTCTACGTCGCCAACTTGCCCGCCCACACACAGTAACATTTCCGTGTGGTTAACATCATGTCGAGAAGATGCTGTATCCTACGCTGTGAGAGTAAATTAGTTTTATCGCGTCTTATAATTACCACAAACTTGTTAACACTTGACACTTACCACTGAGAAACGTCCTGCCCCAGTCGTGCTTGCGAATCAGTCTCTTGTCGATCAGCTAGTTCAACCGTTTCATCATCAAACTCCGGCTCGAATTGGTAAGGTACAATCGATAGCATCTTTTCTATGTATTGACAAGTCTCTGGGCTGTCATTCCGTCATGGCAATGGACGCTTCGTTTCCGACACGCGCTGTACGCGGTAGACCAATCCAGAGCCAATCTCTCTGCGGCTCTGGACGAGCTCTTTTGTCTAGATAGCAACACAAGCGCTCGCAGGAGAGGCTTGAGAATCACAGGACCTCAGAGAGGACAGGATCTCACACACACTCACGACGCATGCAGATCACTAGAAACAATAGTTTAATGGTTTCCACTGCATGAAACACAAAGGAGCGCTGTTAGAGTCTCTGATGGACGAGCTCCTCCAGCAGCTGATCGCTCACGCTGGGTCTGTGTCCTCAGCTCGGGGGTCTGTCTGCAGGAGAGCGTCAGCATTCACAGCTCAAACACTGCAGTCAGAGAAGAGCCCTGGTCAGATCTGAGAGGCTCACCGCACTCGACGCGCGCTCTTCTCGCTGGAGGAGACTCTGGAGGCGCAGGAACCGTCAGGAAGTGGCTCATCTGTGAAGCAGACGCCAGACGTTACTCACACACACTCGTACTGTACCAATCTGACCGTGGAGGCATTAGCACCGCAAGACTGGTCAGTAAAGCATCCCTACTGTAAATAATCACACGTACAGTGTTCATGAGGTATTCATTCATCAGCACCTGGAACAGATCATGAACTTCAGAGACGCTTTCATTGAAAACCTGCATTAATCTTTAGAAGTCACTCTACACAAGTCACACAGAAGTGCTTCGAGGACAAAAATGTGTCTGTTTTCACTAACGTCAGTCATGATCAGAACTACCAGAAATACATTCATTTTTACACTTTTTGCCCATTTGTTTACATAATGCTACTGTTGTTGTTTTTATGAAAGATGAATTATTTTCCATATACTCAATACTAAGCAGACTCTTTTGTTTGATTATTAGTCTTGGATAAATCAATGATTACAAACAACATTAATTTTGATGCATTATTAATTTTTGTGCAGTGTCAGATTAAACAAAACAAAACCAAAACTAGTATTTGCTCCAGTGGCCAAACCTGAGAAAACGGTGCTGAAACCCAACAGAATGAACGGCTTGATTTGATGCTTGAATGGCACTGGCAGTAAATATTACAGTTTTAATGGGTTGCAATGGAGACTTTTTTGTACCCACTGTAAAACAGGTTTATGAAAGGAAACGAGGGTGAAACATTACAATTCCAGTACACACACACACACACACACACACATTTTTGACACAATAATGCTGTTTGCAACACAAACACAACAGCTCAAGCTCCAGTGTTTTCAGCTCTGCTGGTTTAATGGTTCATGTGTTTGTGCATCACTCACTCTTCTCTCCATCTCCACGCGCTGCTTCCTGAGCCGCGTCTCGCTCCAGTCGTCGTCCTCCGCGTCGGGCTTCAGCGTGTGCCGGCTGTACGAGCGCAGCTAACAACAAACACAAACACAAGCAATACACTAGATCAGGGGTCTGCAACCTTCAACATCAAAAGAGCCATTTTGGCCCCATTCCCACCTAATAAAATTCACGTGGAGCCACAACATATTTGATCCCCAAATAAAGATAACACGGCATATAGCTAAAGTGTTATATTCAGTTATGGTACAGGGCATGGGGAGTAGCAATCACTTCAGAAGTGAGGGGGACAGAAACGTCAAATGTAGTAGTAATAATAATAATAATAGGCCTAATAATATTTATGTATGTCTAATTGACAAAAAAAAAAAAAAAAACTTTCTGAACTCTTACTTTTAATTGGCTAAGAGATAAAATGCACTGCTGGACAATAACCAATCATTTGTCTTCTATAATATTTTTGATATATATTTTAATAATGAGAAATTTATGGTTATGATTGTATAATCAGTGTAATAGTTTATATACTACAAACACTTTTTTTCCATTTTTATCACAGAATAAGGCAGAAAATATATTGTATAGCTTCTGTACTGTAATTAATGCTATGTCAATTACCACTGTATCATTCATATAAAAGACTTGAAAATAGGGTTGTGCCATCGATGGCTGATAGACATCACGATGTTGAGCTGAGTAAGTAAGCAGGTTTGTGCTTGTTATTCCGCTTAGCTACAGCCACAGCGGGATGCCTTTGTCCATATCAGGGACTTCCTGGCGTCAAAAGTTGCTTCTATCATATGAGTCTGTTTTGGACTTTCTGTATGAGAGCACCCTCCGGCTTCGAGTATGAATGAAACGTACAGCGCATGAGAGTGTTCAGCGCTCCCTGATGTTCACATCGTTTAGATAAGAATAACGTATTCAGAACGACGTGACTATATTGTCGCTTTTAATTTAAATCTAGATTTATTCACATTGGCCCTTGAAAACCTCTACGTGAACACAGTTGCCCGAGGAAAAGTGCATGGGAAAGAGTTTAGGTTTCATTAAAAGTCGGGGGGACACCTCCCCCGTGTGTTGTACACCCCTGCTACAGGGAGCCGCCGCAGAGGGATGAAAGAGCCGCGGGTTGCCGACGCCTGCACTAGATGACAATATATTCACGCAAAAATACAACTTCCAACAAATCTCTGTTACTTTTCAATTAAAAACCTAGAATCTGGAAATAACCTTTCTGAGAGATATACCAAATGTAACTGCTACAAACATGTCAGTGGGGAATGAAAACTTGTTTACCTTTTGAATTCAGTTGATTTTTCTGAGCCCATTGGCAGATATTTGTTCTTGTTTTAATCATAAACTTACTTCATTTTGATCAATTTCTCAGTAAGTCAGTGTGTGTGTGTGTGTGTGTGTGTGTGTGTGTGTG